ACAAGAATGGGGAAAGTGGGTCACCCTGCCTCAAGCCCCTTGAACTGGAGAAAAAACCGGTCGGAGCTCCATTCACAAGAATTGAGAACCGAGCACTGGAGATACAAAAATGAATCTATTTACTCCATCTTACTCCAAACCCCATCCTCTCCATTAGGTAGAGAAGGAAACTCCAACTCACATGGTCATACGCCTTCTCAATATCCAGCTTACACAGAACACCTGGAACCCCACTACTCAATCTGGAGTCCACACACTCACTGGCAATAAGAACTGAGTCAAGAATCTGACGGCCTACCACAAAGGCATTCTGAGAATTAGAAATCACACCATCCATCACTTTCCTCAAACGAAGAGCAAGGACTTTGGCAATCAACTTGTAAATGCACCCTACTAAAATCCCGAACATCCAAAGCCTGCTCCCCCCCCCCCCCCCCCTCTCCCTCCTAGGGATGAGAGCAACAAAGGTGGCATTCAAGCTCTTCTCAAAAGACCCCTGGGCATGGAAAGCTTGAAAAGTGCCCATCACCTCCCCTTTAACCACCTCCCAGCACTCCAAAAGGAAACACATGGTAAACCCATAAGACCTGGGGCTTTATCCCCGTTACAGCTCTTCAAAGCAGACAAGACTTCCTCTTCAGAAAAAGGCTCTTCCAAGCCCGCACACTACTCACAAGAAATGGTGTCAAACTGAAGCCCCTCAAGCGGAGGTCTCCACGTAGCAACCTCTGTGAACAACTCCGCATAGTACTCAACAATACCTTTGCACGCATCCTCCTCCTTAACCAGAGTCAACCCATGCACCCGAATCCTCCCAATATGATTACCTCTTCGATGGGCATTGGCCAATCTATGGAAAAACTTCGTGTTTCTGTCGCCCTCCTTAAGCCACAAGGCTCGAGATTTTTGTCTCCACGAAATCTCCTCCATGATAACAATCTCAGCAAACTCCGCCTAACACTTCGCCCTCCTTTCCTTCAAATCGTCCCCCAAAACCTCTTGACCCTCCATCCTGTCAATATCAGCAATCTCAGAAAAGACCCGATTCTTCCTCCAAACAAGATTCTCGAACACCTCTTTATTCCACATCTTAATGCTTTCCTTGAGAAGACGCAATCTCCCTGCAAGCATATGACTAGGGGTGCCAACCACTCCAAACCCATCCCACCAGCCTCGAACCCTATCCCGAAAACCTTCAGCACGAAGCCACATATTCTCGAACCTGAAAGGAGATCTACGTCTACACAACCCACCACAGTCCAGCATCAACGGGACATGGTCCAAAATAGGGCGAGCCAAAGTAGCCTGAGTAGCATCAGAGAACATCTCCTCCCAGTCACCTGACAAAAGGAATCTATCAAACCGAGACAGGGTAGAAGGAGAACGACCACTAGACCACGTAAAAGGACCTCCCTCCAAAGCATCAATAAACTCCGGAAAGGCCTCCACGTCAGTCGTCCATCGACCCCCCGTCGATCTCTCAAAAGGAGAACGACCAACATTAAAGTCACGACCAATACACCAAGGTAACAACCATCGTCTTCGGACATCCCCCAGCTCCTCCCAAAGAAGAGTAAGCAACGAATCCTCTAAAGGCCCGTAAACTCCTGTGAAGACCCAATGCAAACCATTCTCAATGAGCTCGAACACACAAGAAATAGAATACCTCCCAAGCCGAGAGTCCACCAACGACACCCATCTGCTGTCCCACATAACAAGGATACCACCCGAGGTGCCAGAAGCATCCAAAACGCACCACTTCACAAATCTACCACCCCAAAGGCATCTCACAATCCAATCCGTCATCGAAGCAATCTTAGATTCCTGAAGACACACCACATGACCTCCCCCTTTTCGAATCACAGACTTGATCACTTTACTTCGCACCGGGTCATTAAGGCCCTGGACATTCCAAGACAAATTTTTAGCTTCATAGGGAAACAGTAGCTAAATCCGTCCCTCCCCTCCTCCCACCATCCCTCACCCTGGGGCCCCTATTCCTTCTTTCATAAGTCACCAACTCAGTGTGGCATCTCACATTACGATCATCCATCCCATTCTGAACCCCACCCCTGCAACCCATACTTTCCTTCTGTTGTGAAAGAAGGACATCATGAAACATACTCATCGCCTTCTCCATCTTGCCCTCAAAAGACACCCCCAAAAGAGAACCCACCTCTCCACCTTTCTCTCGCAACCACTCCTCCTCCACACCTTCTCTTCCCTCAAAAAAAGGACCCTCCACACATTCCCCTTCCGGTCGAACAAAAGCCAAAGGAGCACACAAAACAGCCTCCTGCTCCAAACCATCCCACTGCACCAAACCCAACTCCCCAGCCACCGAAGAACAAGCATCACCCTCCCAATCCTCATGGACAGAAGTGGAAGGGGAGCTACCAGCCAACGGAGTCCCGAACTCCTCATCCGACAAACAGCCCCTAGACTCACTCTGAAAATTCCTCGAAGCTAAGTGAGCCTGCAAGTCATTGATCAAAGGGGCAGCAGAGGCATTGTCAAAAAAGAACTGTAAATCCCGCCCAACACAAACCGTGACTCCCTCACGGGTCAAATGAGGAAACCGAGACAACTTGCAGCCTGTCCATCCCCATGCCAGACATCCTCTTTCACCATTGAAACCGCCTCTAAATCCGGAGAAAGCCTTTTAGAGAAGGAGGGCAACCCTCCCTTCTCCAACCCCGACACCCCAACAGAAGGGGAAGAGAACGAAGAAGAAAGCAAAGGGGCCAAACTAGACCGAGAGAAAGACTTACCCGGAGATAAATCCGGTTGCTTAGACATCACCCATTTCTACTTTTCTTTACGAGACCATTTCTTACGCAAAACTGGGAGAACAACCTTCTTTTTAGACCTCAACCGGTGCCCCTGAACAGGGAGAGCAGCTCTTCCACCATGTCTAATGCCCCCGAAAGAGACGTAGAGGGCTGTTGATCTGGGCAAACCACTAAAGAAGAAAGAGCGTCGAACCAGTTCTTAACTTGCAACCCAGAGCAAACAGAAACAACATCCGGCCCACCCGCCGAACCGCAATCCGATCCACCCAACTTACCGCTTTGCAGGCTTGAAGAAATACCCAAGGAACAGCCCTTCTCGGGCCTCTGGGCTATCACACGAGGCCCAATCGAAACAGGGTCAGCAACACAAGAAGAATTAAGCCCTAACACCAGCCCACCCACAAGCCCATCAGCACAAGAAGCCTGCTTAGCCTTGACAACCATTTTTTTGAAAAAGAAGTGGATACAGCTGTATCCCACTTCCAACGGCCGAACCTTGGACACCAACCACGTGTCCTAGGTCCATCCCTTCCCCACCCACGCGTTGCAGGCACATGAAATCCACGTTGGTATCTTCTCCGATCAGCAAACTGGACGGCCGGCAAAAGTCCATGGCCTCTGAACTCACCGAACCTTGGGAACGTCCTATTGCCTGCAAGACGACACAACTCCGGTGAGGATGAAACACCATCTCTCCTTTTCTGAGAGAAAATCCTTCTGAAGCATTCCGTATTCCTATCCCAAAGCAAATCTCGCCACTCCTTCCATTTCTAGAACTTGTACATCCCCTTCTTCCCCAACGCCTCCCATCTCAACCAATCAGCCTCCTTTAACAGGTGCGATCCATCTCCACCTTCCAAACCATCCGTCGTCGGGACAAGCACAGGATGCTTCTCCTCCCAAATAGCCACTTTATAACAGAACTTATCATCATGGATGAAGACGAACAGAGGGCAAACACGGCCGGCCGAGACTGTGATGCGAACCTTTTCCGCATCAAAGGATTCACTGGCTTCCACCCAAATAAAGCCACCACAGAGATCCCCAACTGTCACAAACAGAGAATGCTTCCAAAGGTGGAGAAGGAGTCCGTATAGCGTGACTCTTTTCAACCCCTTCACCTTCAGCACTCCGGAGTAGCCCACTCTGAAATTCCAAGCATCCACTCAAAGAATGGCCCTTCCCCAATCCCGTCGCCCCTCCTTGAGAACCCTAGCTGCCTCCGCCGAAGAAGGAAGACGAAAGAGAATCAAAAAGTCCGGCAGAGGCGACACCATCACACCCGAAGCGACCTTCCAAGCATGCGTCGCCCAAGCAGCGATCTGAGCCCTATCACCCACCTCCTTATCGAATTCACCCACCAAACACGAACGAAGATCATCTTCTCTCCTTCTAACCGAATCATCATCCAGAAAAAATGGAGTCCCTCTATATGTAGAAGAAGATCTTGCAGACTGAAAAAGGCGAGGCAAACGAGCAACCTCCACGAAAGAATGCATGCTAAGACAAACCCCAAACCACGAAATCAAAAGAGACCAGAAAAAAGTAGCAGAGGATTTCACTGGAGTTTATGACTCCGGTGACTGGTCGGAGTAGAAGACTCCTACCGCATCTCTACCACCAACTCACTCTCAGACCACAAATTCATTCGCCACTGTAAAGAAAATCCTATATGCATATTTAGAGAGAACGTAAGTTTCATTATGCCCTTTTTAAATTGCTCTGTACATCCATAAAAAGAAATACCATGGATTAGTATTTTTACATTTCTTAGATCCTAGAATGCAACCTCTTGAATTCATGCTTACTTTTACTTTTATATACTCTTAACTTCTTTGGGAGATTTATTAAGTTCCATTTCAATTTTTTCAACGAACCAAGGTCTCGGTGAATCATGTACCAAATGTTCAGTTCTTTTGTTGCTGCCTTCCATTCATCCCCTATCTTCTCTTTAGCCCTAATGGAGCTAAGCCTGCCATTCCCGTCCTTCCCCATCCCAACCCAGATTGGGTTTGGAAGTGATTGTCTTTCACAAGAAGAATTCAGGATAGGGGTGTCGCATCCAAAACCCACTTGTTCTCATTCATACATATAAGGAAGGTGATGCAAGTCCAATTCAAGAAGTGACTATGGATATTTTAGCATAAATGCATAAAACACCAAAAAAACTAAGCAATTTCAGAAAAAATGCAACTCATAACAAGTTACCTTGTACAAATCCAGTGAGCTATAAGTCCATGACCTTAGCTTGCTATATCCCTCTTGATATTGTGCAGGAATATTTTCTGGTCTGAATAGCATGAACACTCATTAAAAATTACAGAAATACACTCTATAAAAGGGACATGTATTTATAACCAAGAAAGAAGTACATGGCTACATGGCATTCCATGGAATGAGAACACTCACATTTTAGCATTTTTCACAGTGCTGGAAATAGCAATACATGTCAGACGTGAAATTTTGAGATCAGTCACAATTTATCCTTTTCAAATGAGGACAATAGTATCAGTGTCCTCCTTACATACAAATTTACTATATTTCAATATCACCAATTGTAAAAACTAAAAAATAAAATAAAAATAAAAACAAAACACACACACTTATAGAGGAAAGTTTGGAGGCCTTGAAAAATTGTAATTAAGGCTCCAGCTCGTAAGGTATGATTATGACATTTTTTCAGTAGAAATGGGAAGTGATAAGTCTGGATGTTTTGGCCACATTAACTACTTCCATGAGCATGGATAATTTGAGAGAGGTATCATTTCAACCTTTGTTCTGTTGGTTCCTAGGAAAGGGCAACAGTTTACCTGAGGACTTTTGACCTATTAGCTTAAAAAGGCGCGTGTATAAGTTGATAGAAAAGGCGGTGACTTAGTGTCTCGGAGAAGTGATGGGAGCAATAATCTCGGAATATCAGAAAGTTCATGAGGGATTGCCAAATTCTTAATGTGGTGCTAGTAGCGAACGAGTGCTTTGATTTATGGTTGAGGAGCAATGAGCTTGAGACGCGTCCAAATTGGACAATGAGAAAGCTTGTGATCATGTGAAATGTGATTTTTTTTATATGTATCATTGATTGGATGTCTTTAGATTAAGTGGGGGCAGTCAATGGAATTCTTTATTTCCACAGTCTAATTTCATGTTCTCATCGACAGAACTCCAGCAGGCTTCTTCAGGATTTCTAGAGGACCAAGCAAGGAGACCCACACTTGCCTTTTTATTCATTTCGGTGATGGAGACCTTCAGTCATATGATAGGAAGGGCACTGGAAGGTGCTTTGCTCAAAGGATTCCAGATTTAATTAGTTAAACGGTCCACTTGGCAGCACAAAGGAAGGAGAAACATGTTGAGTTTGAACATCAATTTGAGCAAGAGTGAGCAGTTTCACAAGGTGAGGTGGAGGGGGTACAAAGGCAGGAAATTTAGGGAGTATAATAGGAAGTAGAAAGTATTGAGAACATTTAGAGCACCCTATTTGGAGCTTCCTTTGGCTCTTTCTTCAAGGCAACCACAATATCAGATACTATAATAAATTGATTCAAGAAGAGGCTTGCAGGATGGAAAAGGCAATTTTTACCCATAAGCAAGAGGCTTACACTCATCAAAGTCACACTATCGACCTTGCCTAGATACTTCATGTCACTCTTCCCGATCCCCAACTCTGGTGAAAAGGTTTAAAAGCTTCTAATGGATTTCTTGTGGGAGAGAATTGGGGGTCCAAATGTCATTTTGGTTTCATTGGAAAACTATATAATACCCCTGTTCCAAAAGGGTGTTGGCATACTAAGGAGGTCCTGCGCTAGTATGAAGTAGGACTATCCCTTTATGCAAGATTCTCCGAAGAGGTCAGGGTTAATTCTCGAAGAATATCAGGTCTGTGGTGGAAATGGTTTACGTGTTAGATCTTGACACAATCTTTGGTGCGATGAATGCCATAAAAATCTCAAATTTCTGGACCAGGCTACAGTGAAATTCTCACTGGACTACTTTAGACTATATGAGAGAAGGATGGAGTGGGATGGTGTGGAATGTTGTCTTCCATAGGTCCGAGCAGGATTTTGGAACGGAATGAGATTTGGGCTTTTATGTTTTTACGTAATCTAGTCATCGGTAATGAAGAGGATGATGCTTTGTGGTGGTTGATGGGTGAGATCAGGGACAGGAAATTTTAAGGATGCCATCTATTAAGTTCTTCAAGAAGGAGGTCAGCAGAGAACTCTAGATAACCTATTGAAGAAAATTCAATAACAGCTAACTGGTGTTACATGCATAAGTAGGATGAAATAACATGAGTTATTTGATGTTGCACTGTGCAGTGACTAAATGCCTGTAGGACTTTCTGTTTACTCTGTTTGGATTTCATTGGGAAATTCCAATTTTGAGAAATGATCTTCATTATAGGGTAAGGAGGGTCAAAGTTTTGTTCAACTACAACCAAGTTTTATGTAGCGCTTGCCAACTCACATCTCAAAATCCTACCAGTACCTACTATAACACCAAAAATTGAACTTCGTGGTACAAATGAGACATCTTACCTTATCAAAGAAGGAAAAACAGAAAGGAAAGAAAAGAAAAGAAGAAAGATATCTGACAACTTACAAGTAAATAATTAAGCTCTAGACATTTTTATCCACTTACAATAGCAGTTCACTCGATAACAAATCCCATAACACAAGTTAACAAAATGAAGATCTTGTGAATAAAAATAACTACTATGAGTTGAGTCAACCAACAGTCTAGTATTTGTCAATAAAAAACAACTTAGAACTTAAAAGGAGAATGCACCCCAAGACGATTCATGAGCAAAAAGGGTAGTCCAACAGCTTCTTTTTTTCTCTCTCTCTCTCTCTTTCTTTACTTTCTTTTTTTTTCCCCCCCTTTTTTGGATATGCAAGACACTACACACTATTTTCTCCCCAAGGGGACATGAATGACCCTTAACCTCTTCTTTGGGAGGCTGAGGAGATAGCTCAACCAAATGATCAGTTTTTTCAACAGGTCAATTAGAAAACATATCAATGCTGGAACTTGAACATGAAAAAATACAAAATAAACCTAAGTACTTAACAAAAAAAAAAAAAAAAAATGAATTAGCTTCCAAATATCCAAAAACCCCAATTTGCAAACAAGTCAGGACCAGTGGCGGATCCAAGGGGGGGCTTGGGTGGGCTTGAGCCCCCCCAAAAAAAATTTTTTTTTTTTAGTATAGGTATATTTAGCCCAATGTTTTAAAAAATAAAAATTACTAGTGGTATTAGCCCCCTAATTTTAACCCATCCAAACAAGCCCAATATCTAAACCACAATTTTAAAACAAAGGCCCAACCAAATAAGTCCAAGCCAAACAAGCCCTAAACAATCACTAAGGCATAGCACATAGAACTCCTAAATTCCTAATCTTGCACAAATCAGAGAGCTCACTCCTTCTCTCCCTCTAAAGTCTAACCCTATTTCCTCTAAAAAATTTCAACTCTTTAATCTTTCGATCCCCAAATCCCCCTTATTTAATATTAGCCCCCCATTAATAATTCCTGGATTCGCCCTTGGTCAGGACTCCACCATTTTAGTTCTATAAAATATCAACAAATATTTCAAGAATTTATACAAGATTGGGGTTCCTTTTGTGTTCCCTTAAGTTAGTGACAACCCATAGAAGGACTTACCTAGATACAACACCCACTAACAACCGTAATGCCACATAAAGCTCATTACACGAGAATGCATATAGAAGTTCCTTTAGCTATATGATCAAATCCCAAGAATTTCCTAGTTTTAATTTTTTCTAAGAAGCCATTAAATTTCACAACACTCAGAAGTTCCTGAAATGAGCCAAAAAAAAATTTAACAAGTTCCTGAAATGAGCAATAAAAAATTTAACAAAAGTAATTGCAGATTGTGTTGGTAATTGAACTATTTCACACGTAGAGGTAGCTAACAGATACATATACAAATATATATATAGATAAAGAGAGTGGTGAGTTGGTTAAAACATACTCGGTAACTGAGAGGATGTGTTTGGCAATGTCGGGGTCGGTCTGGGAATTGGCGGAGTTGGAAGAAGAGTTCTTGGTGTGTTGCTGTTCTTCTTGGAAAGCGAGCTCTGTTTGCTTGAAACCCTTCTTCTTCAGATACGCAATTACCGCTTTCTCAATCTCTTCTTCGTCCATTTTTCTTCGCCACAACCAATCTCTCCTTTCTCTGTGTTACTGTGTTTTTTTTTTTTTTTCCTCTCTCTGAAACTCCAATCAAGAAGGGTCAAGTCAGATGTTGGGAGCTTTTATCAGGTCTCGCTGCTAAGAGTTGGGCCTAACGCGCAGTCCAATAAAATTCTTATAAAGAGCTATTATTAAATTTTGGATGGCCCAATCCAGATCTAGAATTTGGACCGACCTTAATGGGCATGTTTGGAACGTTTTTTGTTTTTGCGTTTTGTTTCCCCCAAATAAGACTAGTGTTTTATTGTACAATATTTATGAATAATAATCTAAAGTATGTTTAGTAATGCCTATTTGTTATAAAATTTTTGTAAATAAAAACATAGAATAGGTTTGGAAAGAAATTGTTGCAAGTTTACAAAATATAATTGCTAGTTTAAAAATGTCATTTCAAAGTTTTTCAAAAATAAAAATAAAAAAATTTGTATTGTTCATTACTACAATAGTTGTTGCTACAGTGCGTAAACATGTAAAAACACGAAATAGGTGTTTTGACTTTTGGCTCTCGGCATTGTACAAAATAAAAAAAAATTTGTCATACGCGTTTTTTCTACTGTTTACTGATACAGTACTCAACAAAAACAAAAACATCAAAAACAAATGTGTACCAAACAGCCACTAAAGTGTTCACGTGTTATAATCGTTTAGTGTGCAGTAATGGAATGGAATGACCATTGAATTGCCATTTCTGAAAATCCAATCTACAACTAAACCTATAGAATGGCCATTCTATTCCAAAGTAATTTTTTTTACAAAAATCAACTTTTCAAAAAAACTTTCATGTTGTCCAAAACCACTATCATCACCGCCACCTTTCACCATCACTACCTCCATTGTCTTTCGCCACCATCACTGCCCCTGCCACCATTGTTGCCATCTTCAACCACCACACCGCCGCTGCTTGCACTACCTTCCACCACTGCCACCTCCATCGTTACCACCACTGACTTCCACTGCCAACTCCATTGCCTTCCACCACCAACGTCACCATTACCACCACCACTGACTTTCACCACCGCCACCGCCACCGCCTTTCACTGTCACCTCCACTGACTTCCACCACAACCACCTACACCATTGCCGCCTTCCACCGCCATTGCCTTCTACCACTACCACCACCACTTTCACTACCGCCTTCCTCCAACAACACCACTATTGTTTTCCACCTCCACCACCATCGTCGACTGCCATCCACCGCCACCATTTCATTTAAAATAATTATAAATTTTTGTTATTTTGTTGATTTAATTAATTGTCACTAACTAGGGGATTTTGGATAATTCAATTTGGAATTCGTTTCATTCTAAAATTTAAATTGGTGAAACCAAATTTTAGAATGGTTATTATCATTACATTCATACCCAATTCATATTTGCAACCAAATAATAGAATGGGAATGGTTATTTCATTCCATTCTCATTTGTATTCCATTTTTTTTTTTTTTCCTTCCGTGATTCAAATGAACAGAGTCCAATAAAGACTAGGGTAAAGAGTAAAAAACCCTATCAACTATGGGCGTTTTGCAAATAAACCCCATAAACTACAAGAAACTCCCTTGAACTATCAATTTGTTACAATTCAGGACAATCCGACAATTGGGTTTATTTGAAAAATCAAAAGACAATTGTACCATTCACTAAAACTACGTCGTTTTAGAACTTAAACACTTACTTGTATGACGTGGCAGTTGTAAGCTCAAAGACCAATTACAACATGACACCTCACCCAATACCATTCTCCTGATTTCTCTCTACCACCATCAGATCCATCAACATCAATCCGGTCAAAACCCTCCCATTCTCTCTCTACAATCATCGATGCCTCTTCCATATTCTTTCTCTACAAACATAATCCAATAAAAACCTAATATGTCCCATATATATATATATATATATATATATATATATATATATATATATAAGGGAAAAGATGGCTCTGACAAGTTACCAGCTTCATGATCGATTTGGTCCCTCTGTAGACTTGATAACCTTACCACCATCGGAATCGCCTACTGAAAAATAATTTTGGGGCGAAATTCCGGCGTGCATGAACAGACCCAACTACGGCAAAGATTTGGCAAGGAATATAATGGTGAGAAATTCCGATGGCAATAACAAGAAAATCTTTTTTTCCTTTTTTTTATCTCTAGACTTTGGTAGCAACAACAACGATAAATGTTTGATAATCTGCGATGGCGATGACGATGGTTGTGATAAGACTGTGATGGTGTTTCGACGGCGAACACTTTTTTTGAAAATTCTTCAATTATCAGGCCAATCTATAATTGAAGAATTACACAATCACATGAGCAATATAAATAGAGCTTGTGGGTTAAAAGGTAATATATGGGTAATTTAGTGTTTTTGTATTATAAGGGTTATATAGTCATTTAGAAAAGAAAAAAATGTGGCACACACGCGCATAATGACGGTCAAAAAAATTTCTACCAATGACTGGATTGGGTTAATTGCAACTAAGTTACTTAGTTCGGGGGGTTATTTGCATTTTTTGTACTTCAGGGAGGTTTATTGCATTTTGGCCCGTAGTTGAGGAAGGGAAGGGGGGTACATATGCGTAACAACGGTATAAAAAATTACTGCTTTCTCTATCTCTTCTTCGTCCATTTTTCTTCACCACAACCAATCTCTTGTTTCTTTGTGTTACTGTGTGTGTGTGTGTGTGTGTGTGTGTGTTTTCCCCTCTTTCTGAAACTCCAATCAAGAAGGGTCAAGTCAGATGTTGGGAGCTTTTATCAGGTCTCGCTTCTAAGAGTTAGGCCTAACGCCTAGTCTGTGATACCCCTCGATTCTAGAGCCACGGGTGATCAAGTTCGAGCACAGATCCGAGGGATACCAAACAATTAATATGTAAAAAAACACGGAATACAAAAATGAAACAAGAATAAAATAATAAGCTGAAAGAATTCTAAATTAAAAAAATCCTCAAAATATTATACATTGATATAATATTAAACTTTCCAACTCCGTACAACTCGGGAATCCATCTAGTGGACCCCTAATAATCCCAAATGAAAGTAAAATACAGAACCAATATCCAAAACTAAAATAAGAACGGAAATCCTATGTAGTTGGAGGAGTGAGTGTAATACCCCTAATTTAAAAGGGCAATCCTGGAATTTTAATTTAATTATTTACGTGTATTTTTTTTAATTTAATTGTTTTATTTGGCTTGGTGGTTGTGTTTCTTTATTTATTTGCATTCTTTGTGGATTATTTTATTTAAATTGTGTATTTAATTAAATGGTTTTATTTTTATGTTTTTGGTTAATTATTTTAGTTTATGTTTATGTAATTAGATTTTATTTTATTTTAAATGGATTAAATTATTTACGTGAGTTGGTTTATATTAAGGTTTTACTTAAATTCATCGTATCTTAGGTTTGAGCAGACTTGTAGTTGGTTTAAGATTTGAATTTAGGGTTTCAAATAAAACCTATAAATATATAGGTATACGTCTGCCAAGGGTTTTTGTAAACCCTATTCACCATATTCACGTACATGGAATACAGAGAGCAACTGAGTGTGTTTTGTGAGACAAAAATACAGAGAGAACCTTAAGAGATTAAGGGAGGGATTCAAGGAGGAGTTCTGGATTTAACTGGGAACGGCAGAGATTGATAACAACAATTGACATTGCCAAAGTTGCTAGAGACGACAGCTTTAGATTTCCAATTGGAAATCAGAGGCAAGTCTTTGTTCTTCTCTTTCCCTTTAATTCGTGTTTTGTGCATGCCTAGTTAGACTCCAGGAATTTAGTAAAGGCTAAAACGGATTTAAATAAATGTAATATCATGTTTTCTATTCATATATGAATTTATTTGATCTCATTGAATTGACTGGTGCATGAACCTGTGGTTTCTGTGTTTTGTTCCTCTTGTTGTTTACATTAAGTTTTGATTAAGTTGAGATCATGAACAAGTATTGATGACTTGTAATTAATCTGGGACTAAAATTTAACCCTAGAACAAGTATTAAAAATAGTGTTTGAGTTCCCTGAATTAATCTGTTTTGAAATTGTTTAAAAATTTCTAACTGGACCTTCTGTTGTTGTTTTAAACGGTGTGTTCAATTCATGTCGTGGTTGTATACCAATGATTTAGGGATAATCTGGAACATTAATTGAACCTTAGAATAAGTATTAAAGGATTTACAGAGGCCTGAGTATCGCCGGATGCGAGGAAGACGAAGTAGAAAACCGCAGAACGCACCGGAAAGAAGGAGAGCAAGCTCTCAAAATGAGAGAGCCAGCTCTCTCATGCAAAGAGCCGGCTCCAAGGAGCATGGAGCCGGCTCCATGCTGCAAAGAGCAGACTCCCTAAGTTAGGGAGCCGGCTCCAACATTAAAATAGCAGGCTCTAAATTTTTATAGAGCCTGCTCTCACCCAAATGCACATAGGTTGGTCTTTTAGGCACTGCTTGGACTGTTCAAATGATTAACACTTCGTATAAACTGTTTTATTGATGTGTTGGGATTATAGTAGGCTTAATATATTATGGAAAACATTAATCCATGATTGAGCATAGGAATGGAACAAAATAAATCTAAGGAAAAACGGTAGATTGCAAACTGTTTTGGACATGTAAATTATGTATTGGAGCTTAGCAAGGTTGTTATATATGATTTAATTATATATATAAATCATATTTTCATAGTATTATAAGTATAGTGAATTAACTAAAATTTCTTATGCGTAGCTTGGGTATAATTGATACTTAAATTTTTATTAACTGTATCAATTCATGAACTACATTGGAGAATTTGCTAGGTTTATATACTGGAGTTTAGCAAGGTTGTTATATATGATTTAACTATATATATAAATCATATTTTCATAGTATTATAAGTATAGTGAATTAACTAAAATTTCCTATGCTTAGCTTGGGTATAATTGATACTTAAATTTCTGTTAACTGTATCAATTCATGGACTATGTGGGTGAATGTGAATGCTTGAATGCTTGAATTTAATATAGCAGTTTGCATTATTGGAATTGGATTGTAGGCTCTATATTGAATGACTGT